TTCTCTGTTGAAGTTGGTTTTGTTAGTCACGTGTTGTGGCAGTTAACCCAGGCTTATTATACAAACATTCCACTGCATAGTTCTCTACAACCCTTTTAAAAAGGTGATCTTGTCCACAGTTCATCTGTTTTGTTTGCCACAGACTATACATTGATGAGGAAAGTACTGTATCACCGATGGCACCAGCACAAAAATGAGGCTGACTTCAGTAGTGGCTGATTGAATTAAGCACCGTGTGAGGTCTTAAACGTATGGGCCTAAATAACCTCAGAAGTCGTTTGTTGGTAGACTTACAAATAGATAACACCAGCTAAAAAATTAAACGGTCAGCCGTGGTCTTTACTGCTTAGCTCACAGGAACATCGTGCTCTCTTCTGATCCTCTACAGAGCCTCGCGCTCACTGAGTCAAGGACAAGCTACGGCTCACCACGAAAAGATGCTCTGTGAGACCTGGTGTATTGAGGTGAGACTCACACTCTGACAAATGAGTCTGATATTATTTGGAGTTTTTAGCAAACCATAAGGGAGACATATATGTCCATATTGTTCAGAATCCAGTCAGCATTGTTTTTACTACTTGCACCAAGTGTCTCTTTCTGAGGCTTAAGTTATTTTGTCCTTTGTTTCATGTAAGTTTTTTATTTTGTTTTATTTTTTAAGCAAACTGAGCCAAATGTGGAAGTTTACAGATTGGCTAAATCTGTAAACTTCCGCTGTGAGCTTCAACCTACACCAAGTGGTTCAACTTCTGCTTTCACCATGTACACGCAGAAATAAAGAAGCCTTGCGAGAGAAACATTCTCAACCAAAAAACTGTTCACCTGCTACTGACTAGACAATGTTACATTTGTAGAAGTGTCTTGAAAATCTGTCCAATAATCTAATCCATCCATCTACACAGCTGCACTGTTTTCCAGTCTACAGTGATATTATTATTATTTCTAGACCTGCGACTGTGTTTCTGATTAAACTTTAGCTTCAGACACTTTTTAATCCTAGTTTTTCTGCTGGCTTTTTAACCCTTGCTCTTCCCTCAGGCCCATGACAGAGTCATGAACGACATCAAGTTGCTTCAGTCCAGCGACTCCAGACGGATCTTTAAGAACCTGCAGGCTATTTCTGCAGCCACAGTGGAGAACGGAGGCGTGGTCGCTCCTCACCCTCTGGGTTTCTAAACCAACTGTTTATCTCTGCCCTCCCAACATTTTTATCTCAGTTTTGCACTTGATTAGTTTAACCGTTTATACTAGAACATCAGAAATCTGTGGTGAGAACAGCAGCCTTCGTAGAACAGATGAATGAGTCATTTAACATTAATGGTATTATATCTTTAGGGTTTTTTACAAGAACATTTAAATGTTTTAAAACCTGTCTATTTTGTTATCAGTTCTTGGATTTAATGTCAGAGGTACTTGTGTTTGGTTGGGTACCTGGTCTCTCATTTTATTTCACTGTTGACAGAGATCTTTACACTACAGTTTTTGCCATTCACTTACTCTAAAACTCATCTCCCAGAGAAATCAAAATGGCATTCTTTTATTTGAGGAACAAATAGCCCCAGAGAAGACAATTGACACAATGACCAAAGGGTGACGATACTTAGACGAAGGACAGTCAAATGTCCTTAAACGGTGAAGGAAAGACAACTGCGCTCTCATTTGATTTGCTTTAATGTGGTTCCCAGTACGATATCTTCCTCTTTGATCTCTACATTTTTGATCTTACAAATGTTTGGTGCCTCCAATTGGACACTAGGTAGAACAAAGGATTTTGGTTTGTTAACTGCCTTTGAAAATGCTTCATTTACAGGATCTAAAAACTTCCAAATCATACCTTTGGTTCTGAAATGTGAGAATCAGAACCTGTTGGATCATGGTTAAAAATGATTTTTTATTTGAGGTGAATTGTGTTTATGTTGATGGAAATGAATCTGGTCTGGACTCAGTCAGATGGACATGCAGTTAATAATCTCTTTCTGGCTGTTTATTTTTTTATTGCTACTTGTTTAATGACAAAATGTTTGTAAGTAACGTCAGTTCAACGTGAACATCAGGAAGTTGTTAACTTGTGAAATAATCACAGAAACATTTAACTTGTTCTAATTTGTGCAGATACAGATGCAGGTACAGTATTTCAAAAGGAGAACTTTGCCTTTATTTTTTGTTAATGTGAGGTTCTGATGTATGTCATAGCCAAACCCGTTGCCTTACAAACCAGTCCACAGACGGACAAAGAAAATACATTCATACTTTACTCTTTATTTAATAAACTGTGATGTTATTTGACAAAGCTTTAGAGTTGTTTTGTCCTTCTGCGTTGGTGGAAGATGATCTTTGACTGTAAATAACTTCATTGTAGTTCAATCTCTCTGTACAGGAGCCATGGAAAGTAACAATTGTGCAAAGTTGTGTTGTTTTTGGAGGTTTGCTGTGTTTTAAGCAGATATCTTCAGCCCGACCACACACTTCTGTTGTAATAAATGGATTCATTTGACAGTGTTTTTTTTGGTGTTTTTCGACTTCACTTCGCAAAGCAAAGCAAAAAACCCTTTTACTGTGCTATATCTTCTCTGCTTCCTCCTTTGCCAGACAGGCTCGTTTCCTTTTTCTGTTGTATTTATTCTCTTTTGCAACTCATGCAGCCTTTGACAAGCGAGGGATATGCCAGTAAGTGTTTGACAGGTGTTGCATAAATGCTGTAGAATGAGTTCACTGGAACTCCTTCCTTCTCTTTGTAGACCTTTCAGATGTAATCTTTTTTTTTCATTTCTGTTTCTGCTGCTGCTGTGGGCTGTGAAAGTGAGAGAGTCTGCTGCTGTAAGAGCTGTGTGGTTAACCCGTTGAGAATTCCCCTCTCTCTGCTACTCCTGTCGTAATCAGAAAATTCAGCAGTTTTTTTGTTTTTTTTTTTTTTGCCACAAAGAGTTGATGCTGTTTGCTGATTTCCTGTTGATAATATGCGTAAATGATAGAACTTGTAGTTGCAAAGTAAACTTTGATTTAAACTTTGAGAAAGTAAATTCTTTGATAACATTTCCATTTAAAGTCACTTTTAAACCTGAAAATCCAACACTATCACCTTAGTTTCTGGACACTTATTTTTCAAAAATTCAGTACAATGATATAAATCCTAAACATAAATGCCAAATATTCACCACGACCACATTCTCCAACGTACACTACACACACCAATTCATCATTTTGCAGGATTCAAAATGGAAGTATAAATGTACTTTTACTTTGTTCAACCACAGCAACCACAAGTTACTGAGAAGTTACTACAGTGCTCGTGTGTAATATACAGAGTGACATTTAAATTTTTCACACGGCCTTCACTAATAAGGGTTATTGTGGGTTTTTCTGAAACATTAACAACAGGGAGCCTACTGTATGCTGCTGTATTCTTCAGCTGCGACCTTGTTCTTTGGGCCTTTTTGTTCTTATCAATGATGAGCAAGCATCAAGGAAACAATATTGATGAATCTTCTGCAAAATATCTTTTCTGGCCTCACGTCAGATTATTTTAGACTTAATTGTTTTCATTAGCATCTGGCTACTTTCAGATACTTTAAAAACTATTAGCTAAATGCTTAAAATTGTTCGCATACTTTACCTTTTTTTGTTTTTTAGCTTTCCATATATCCGTCTTTAGATATATAGCATTACCAGTCAAACAGAAGAAAAATGTATGTTTAAATACATTTGTTTATTGGATATAAATATATATGTGTGTGTTTGTGTGTATATATGTATATACTATATATATAAAACATATATATGTCACTATGCCATAGAACCTTGTGATTTTTGTTTTAAATTTGTCGTTTTGTAAATTGTACGATCGTGAGACTTTAAATATGACCTCTTTGTGATGTGAGTGTTGAAAATCATGACAAACAAAGATGTATCGTGTTGGAGATGTGTCTGTGTGGTTCTCTCTGGAGTTTTGTCAGCAGACAAAATGTGTCGTCAGGGCTTTGCAGGATGCTAGAAACATATTACGTTTCAGGGCTTTGCAGGATGCTAGAAACATTCAGATGTACCTTAAGAACGAGACCAGAGCTTTAATAGCCAGACCTTTGCATATGTGTACGCACACGTGAGAATCTTCCACTGCATTCAAATGACTCAGACTCTATGTTGTCTATGTGCAGAAATTCTGAGGTTCAAAAACTCTGGACCAGCCAGAAAAAAGCAAAAGTTCACATTTAGGATACTAGGCAATCCTCCAGAAGTCACACTGTCTGAGAATCCACGTGTGAGTGTGTCTTTTCTTGATGGTAGAAGAGGTCAAAAACCATGAAAACCATCCAAAATCAGTTCGGCTGTAAACCTCCGTTACAGGGTCTTGTATTCAGCAATACTCATGTTGATCCTTCATTGTTCGTATCACCTTGACCTGAGTGTGAGTCCTGTGAGGAAGTGCTGTCTGAGTCTGGTCTGGTCTCTTGTTCCTCAGCAAGGGTCTGAGGAACCTCCTGGGAGATGATGGTTACGGCTGTCAACGTTCTCTCTCTGAGGGCAAAAACAACGCAGAGTTTAAAAAATTACATCAGTGCCACTTTTGTTGTGTCATAACCCTTCAGGGCAAAACTTCAGTGATGAAACAGTTGACTCATGGTGTGAGCGCTGGCCTTGGCTGGGTCACTGTTGCAACATGAAGCAATGAAGCAGTCGAAGGATGGTTGTTTCAAGATATAATATATATATATATATACAGTACATATATATGGAAATGTGTGTACTTGTATGTGTATGCATTTTTATGTAGGGATAGGGATATATTTAGTGCTCAGCGATACGTGTACTGTGGCAGGTTGTCTGTGATTGGCTGTGTTAATGATGATCATGGAAGTTGTTTTGGTGGGAATAATAAGATTGACCTCAAACTAAAATATATATTATGCTCATTTAACAGGACTTGTGATTTACATTGCGTAGTGCCCCCTGCAGGGAAGGAGGAGGAGGTTCATGGATGTAAAAAGTTGGTAAGTAATGTTGCATACTTTTCATTTGAGGACACAAACATCTAATAGCTGCTGTTGCTTTGGGCTCAGTGGTGTTACTGTTGTTGACTAAAGCAAAACACTATGGACTTGGACTATGTGCAGGAATCTAAGATAACTATGTGTGCATATAATGATGGTAACATCTCAACGGGAAATATAAAATGTTCTAAATTATACAATCTCAAAGCGAGTGTGCTGTTCGAACAGAAACATCTTCTTGAAGGTGTCAGAGACTTTTAGATTAACCTGTAGTGTGTCTGGTCAACTGAATACTTACAACGATTCTAAAAACAGATACCAGAAATATGAGTTACCAAAAATGGTCCTTACTTTGCACACACCGCATTTATAAAACCAAGAAAATGATTTTTCCATGAAAATGTATCAACAACCGTTTGATTAATTTGAGAAACAAATGAACGAGCACCTTTGTCTGTGTTGTGGATACTGCCAACTGGCCCTCATGGTCCAGCCCAGGACGTTCTTCAAGTACCTGGAACAGCAGGGGAACCTTTGACTGAGCTGATCCATCAGCTCTTGTTTGTGCAAACCGTAGACAATTGGCGCAACGCACTGGGCTAAACTGAAGAAGGCGAAGTTGACCACAGCCGACAGCTCCTTGGTCTGGCTCTGGATCAGTCCGTGTTGGTGTAGGGTGGTCAAACCAAAGTTGACAAAGTTGGGGAGGATGTACACCCCCAGCTGGGTGCCGTGCAAGGCAATGGTTCTGCGGCCAGTGCGGTTGCGCCTATTGAGGACCCCCAACCTGCGGCCCTCCATCAGTATCCGCACGTAGGTGTACAAAATCAGAGCCGTGCAGCAACTGATGAACACCATCTTCTGCGGCACTCCGACTCTCAGCTGATCCGGCCCACAGTGCTCTTCGTGTTGGGAGTAGGAGTCTGGCTGCAGGAGCAGGCTGAGTGGAATAAGGAGGGCCAGGAGCCAAGTGAGGAGGCCCAGAAGCCAAGGCCAGTGGCCCGGTGTGCAGGTGGCGCTGTAGCGCATTGGGTGACACACGGCACAGTATCGGTCCACTGCCATGACGGTGAGGGTGAGGAGGGTGTTAGAGGCGCTGCTAATGAGAACTGTGACCATGAAAAGGCAGGTGCTGCGTCCTGGTCGAGAGACGAGGTGGATCTGGTAGTAGAAGACGCTGCTCATGCCCAGGTAGATGAGTGCTGATACCAGCAGGTGGAACACCAGGACGTACCGAGCACAGGTCCTGAGGCGCTCCTCACCCACAATGGTCCAGTTGATGATGAGGTTGAAGAAGAGGAGGACAGAGAAGGAAGCGGTGGAGACGTAGAAGCGAACACAGGTGTAGTCCTGATCCTCTGATGCTGAAGATGAGGTCCATGAAGAGCTGTTGTTGGCTGACATCACTGGACTGAGTGGGAGTCATGTGATGATGATGATGATGATGGTTAAAGAGAAGGTTTATCAGCTGCATGATCCACTCTCCCTGCTCTCTCACTGAAGACTGGCTTAAACTGACGACAACTCTCAAGTTCCTCTCTCTCTCTCTCTCTCTCTCTCTCTCGTTCTCTCTCTCTCTTTCTCTCTCTCTCTCTGTCGCTTGCTCTCTGGTTTTAGATAGATACAGTAGATAGCACTTTATTAATCCCTTGGGAAATGTAGGTATTTAGCTGACACTTGTGAGAGCACCATGTTCAAAGAAAAGAACTAAGTTTAGACATTAGCAGATGTACATAGTTTTCAAAACTGTCAAGAACTGCAGACAGAAAGATCATGTATATATGTATATATACAGTATGTATATATACATATAATTTTCAATCAATTAAAAAACTAAAATAATAAAAGTTGTTAAAAAGAACCATCAGTTAGTTAAGAAACAACATGACTCTGTCTGTGTGAAAGTAATAAGAAAATACATGTCAACTTTCTGAGTCATTGCGCCCTCGTGTGCTCAAAGACGATGTAGTGACATTACTGTACCCTCTAAATAGAGGACATTCAAAGTTTTTATCCATTTTTCAAATTTTCACAATTACAAAGTGAAGTACACTGTAAAGTAAATGCTATAAATGTGAAATACATTTTTCTTTTAGCATCTATTGCTATTGCTCAGCTGACGTCCAGAAAATATAATCTAAAACTTGTTTGTGTCCTTAGCATTTAATTATTCCGCTAATGGGAAAATAGTTTCAGTGTTTTGGGAATTAATTAGGCCTAAATGCAAAGACAAATCTTTTTATTTACTATAAAATACTTGAGCTTCTTATCAGCCAATGCTCTTCATTAAATACTTAGGAAAGCGAATTGAGATTGTAACATATTTTATTTTTTCACTTACTATTTTTTGAAGAAAGTTGCTGAGCTCGTGGTGCTTTGGCCCAGAGGCAATGTCAGTAGTGTCGGCAAGATCGAATCCCGGTTAGGGCGGTTGGTACCTTCCAGTGGACTCACCACCTGCAGGAAGGTTCAGGGGGGGTGGTACGGTGCAGTGTGATTTGGGTGGTGGTCATGGAGACCTCTGTCCCCACGAGTCGGTAACGGATAAGCGGATGAAACTGGATGGATGGATGGTTTGCTGAGCTCTTGGCCCATGACTAACACCTACTGTACTTTGTAGATTCCAGTTGCATTACGCTGATTGTCCACCAGATGGCGTCATAACCTCGAGGTCGAGGTTATGGCTTCGTAACAAACTAGTTCAAAGAGGCAGCCTGAAATTCTTTATGAGGAAAGCCATGTTAGCGGTCAACTCAGGGCTGTGATAAATCACAGTTTCACTTGGCGCCACTGTGGACAGTGAAAATGTTGTGGTCAGTGACTAGAGAAATCTGTCATAATGGACCACATATGTAGTTCTTCTTCTCAAACCACCAATCTGGTCTAACTCAAAGTACCGGTTTGTAACCTAATGACGTGTCCCACTTCAATGTTCACTTGTTTCCTTTTTATGAACTAGTCATACTAGTGACTTGAGTCAAAATTGCAACAACGTAATCTATCTATCTATCTATCTATCTATCTATCTATCTAGTTTTTCAAAGTGCAATGTCTAATGTTGTCCTGACCTTATTTATAATGGACTAAAATAGGTTTTATAGTAGTGCATTGCAAAAGTTAATGGTTTATTTATAAAGCTGATAACGTTAGTGTCAGTTATTACCTGTTGCACGTTCAACCAATCAGTGTATTTGCTTTAGGCTTACGTCATGTCCTTTATTGTCCAAGTATCGTTATATGAAATTGCACAGAGAGCTGTAATTGTTGGCTTTTTTTTTTAAATCCGTTTTGTAGAAAACGAAACCCAGAATTGCTCTCTCCCATTTTGTGCTACCTTTGAACATTTTAGTCTTTTCCTGTCTGCTCTGCAGTACACACACACATCCGCGAAGAGAGGTAAGACAAAATCTTCTCATCTTTTTATCTTTAATATGAGTTTCGATTTTGCAATTTGAACTTTTTAAAACAGCATAAAAGTTAGTTTGATATCGTTTACGTTATATATTTTAATATTAGTTTAACGGAGACGCCGTCACTATTACGTCACAATTCGCTTGTAATAACCTGAACTTCACTTAATTTCAAATCTCATATATTGCGACCATCATGATAATATTTGCCACTTAAAATACACATTTCCACATGAACGACATAGGATAAGATATTGTTACAGTGTAATTCGTCGTAGAACCACGTGGAAGGAGCAGTTAGTAGAAAGACGCAGTTTAACATTCAGTTAAGAGCAAAAAAACCAAACAAACAAATAACGTAACAATTTACGAAATAAAATATCACTCTTAAAGCTTCCAGGTGTTTTGTTTGGATGACAGAATATTTTTTAATACTTTAGGTAACTGAACTGCAGAAGATAATTGTTTTATTGTCAATTGCCATTCCCCCTCTCAACAGTATCTTTTGGCATGGTTAGTTGTTAGTTGTTGAGCTTATCAACCAAGTCCATTTCCTTGTAGTTTTTCAGACTTTGTCAGTCAGAAACGGTTGCCTTATAAGCATTTCCTCCCATTTTTTTTTATAGTTTGGATAACAAATCCTTTTAAAAAATGAAAATAATGTCAAAGTTGTTCTTTCCCATGTAGTTCTGTATTTAACTAATCTAATCTAATAAAACAAGAAAGCAGTTTCACTGATTTCTTAAAGAAACAATAGCGGAAGTAGACCAACATTAGGTTATACACCTATTTTCTTATTTCTTTACACCTTGTTAAAACTTTTCAAATGCTACTGTGTACAGTCTACAATAATGGGTTATTGAAGGACTCAAGGACTCAAGGTTCTTTATTGTCATTGCGACACACGTTAGACATGGGATGAAGGAAATGAATCTCCCTGGTCCCGGTTCGAGTACATTGATTGACATAGTGCAGCGAAGAAAGAGAAACACAATGTGCAAGAGTGAAAGACAAGAACAACAACATTGCCAAGGCAACAAGAGCAACATATGTGGGAACAATAGTTGTGAGACAATGGTCAGGCCAACACATATTTGCTGTTTGTGGGGTGGTTATGAGGGGAGGAGTGTTGAATCAATGTGGGGGTACGGGGGTAGGGGTGGGGGGTTACTGGTGGTCCTGCTTCTGATGCTCCGTAGCCGTCTTCTGGACAAACAGAGCATTTGTGGGGTGGGTGGGGTCCTTCATGAAGCAGAATGTTCTAAGCCATTCCATATTTAATTAATTTTAGCTGTTGATTAAAAAAAACAACAACAAAAAAACACATTTGATATTAGCCAACATTAGGATGGGGAATACTGATTGATTTAAGTGAGTAAAATGTCTGCTGTATGAAAGAATCAGCTGCTAAGCAGTCTTTTGTTACACTGGTTTGGTTTTCTCCCAAATCTGGACTGCAGGCCAGCCAGGCACTCAAGCACTGATTATGAGGACATACACTTTAATGCTTCAATATTAATTGAATTGCAATGTGTGTGGTTATATAACTACATGAAATGCTGTGATTTAAAACATTTAAATAAACACAGAAGGGCCAATCATCTGGGAGTTAGGGTCCAGGGATTGTGGTGTGGAACATCCATCAGCAGAAAGAAAGAGAGGGATTTTTTGTTTATGCTGATTGACTGGTTTTGAGAAGTTGAGAAGTAGACCAGTCAGCATTCAGTGTGGACAGACTTTCTGTACCTTTTTTTGATTTACAAAATGGTTATAAGGCTCAATAAAATGCCTACAACGGTGCTACTTTCGTTTCCACTGTTTAGGCCTCCTGATATACTTCTTCATTTATATGTTTGGAAAACAGCGTTGCAAAATCTTTCCAGTTGAATGTTTTAAGAGTGAAAGTGAAATCACAATTCCCATTTTAACCACAATGTTAAAATGGCAAGGTTCAAATGCATCACCAAATGACAAACTTTAGATTTTACAGGGCTTCTACATTATTTTGTTACTATCGTAAGCTCTATCATTTAATGTTTAAAGGGTATTGTAAGCAACTATTGCCCAGTCAGAAATGCTGTGTAAAATAATGGTCTGTATAAAAAATAAAAAACTCCAACAACTGTTTTCTCCCCTTCAACTGTAAATACTCACCTTCCCAGACCTAGCCACCAGTGATGTGGTAGTCTCATCTTTCTTCTTCATCTTTGTATCTTGTATCCTGTAGCCATGGCCGTCTACCAGCAGCCCCAAGTGATGTCTGTGACCACGACTAACGTCCAGGGCCCGGGAACATGGAGTACTGGCCTCTGTGACTGCTGTGCTGACGTGGGCACCTGTAAGTTAATCTTTGACGCAGCAGTGTTTTTTGTAACAGTGATTTCAACTGAGACCAGAAAATTGTTGTTGTACAAACTGTTTAAAGTTCAGTGTATGGCTTTAGTTTATATCTGTCTAAAATTGGGCATTTTGAATTTATTCAATTCAAATGTCCTCATCATGTGAACACTGGGTTGGTCAGCTCAATAAAAAAAAATCAGATTTTATCAGTGGTTCCATGGTGTGGGGGTGAGTCCTCTTAAGGCACGTGGCGTTATAAGGCAGAGGCCAAATTCATTTCAGTTTCTATGTTTTAATTTATGCTGCACTGGGTAATTTCATTTCCTTTGTTCAATGGAGTGAAGCAATATGTATCTTTGAGTGTGTCTTATGAACTTGTCTTACAAATTCATTGTAACAAGTACTATTATGTAATCCAAATAATATGTTGCATTAATGACAATTCATTTCCATTCTTCTTACGGAAGAGCATATTTGTTATGAGTTGTCACTGGATTGTAATTGAATTTCTATTTTCTTCTTTCTCTTTGCAGGCTGCTGTGCTTTGTGGTGTTTCCCATGCATGCAGTGTCAGACAGCCAACCTACACGGCTGGTGCTGCTGCATGCCCATACTGGACTTCTGCTGTGTGGTGTCCTGCCTTCTCCGCTCCTCTGTTAGAGACCGTCATAACATCCCTGTAAGTGTTGGAACTTTGGGGGTTAGAGAATTATCATTTGAAGTTGCTTGCCACCAGTTGAACAACTGGTCACTGTCTTCTTTTACTCGCAGAACAAATTTGAATCTTATTATGACTAAACTTAATACTGAACATCATCACATACAGTGGGAGGAGGGTAACTTTGTATATAGATGTTTATTTGTTTATTAATTATTTAACTAAAATAACATTTCCAAATAGAACTTGGAAAATGATCAAAACAGCAGATCTTGCCTATTTACAAACTACAATGGTTTTTGTTTATTGAATTGTATATATTATTTTAGCAAAATATATCAGTACAGTTCGCCCAGTTGTTCCCAAACCTTAGGGACGAGGACTAGTGCAGTGTATCGCAGGCATGAGTAGTTATTAAACTAACAATTTACGACAAGCCTATATTTTTCAATGACACAGCAAACTTACATACTCATTTTTTAATTCCAGTCGAACAGGTTGACAACAACTGTGTATGTACCCATGTCGACAAGTCTGGGAATCAGATATCACACTGATGTACTTTTGTCATTTCAAGCAACCTCTAGACTTTTAGCTATTCTCTATCACCAGTGAACGCTGATGTTGTGACAGACATCTCAAAGGTGTGGCTCAGCATTTCCACGTAGGTGCAGCAGTTGCATTTCCTCTTTTTTCATCATTTTCATACCAAATAATTTGCCTTTTTCAAATTTATTCAAAAAGCAGAGTAAGAGGGAGTTTCCTTTGACTTGGTGCGCACTTATCACTGGAAACTGGTGGAGCATTTTAATTTGCTTGTGATGGTAACCAAATGATGGATTGTGTTATCTGTGAACTGTACACAGCCATTTTCATTCAGATGCAAAACCAAATGCTGCTCTTTTAATACTCAACTACATAATACAGCAAATCAGGGGGTAGGATTTCAATGTCCCTACAGTTCATCACAAAAAGATGTAGTTAAAATACAAAACCATTACATTGATGTCCTCTACATCACAGTCATCAGTTGAAGGCATATACATTACTGTAGACTCCAGCAGTCCTACCGGCATTTACTAGTGTTTATGTTTTCTGTTTGAGCTATGCTATAATGGACCAAATGTTGAACACATGCGTAGGCTCTGTCAGTGTCTTTTGACTGTAAACCAAAATTTCAAGCAAATATATTTTGGGCCTAATAACTTTTGTTATTATTCTTTTACTTAGTATTAGTCATGATAACAGCTAAGTGCAGATTTATGTTTTCTTATGTACAGTTCTTACTTCTAAAATATCAATATTGTACTTTAAGTTAATGGCTCTTTGGACCAGAGGCAATGTCATTGGTGTCGGCAAGATCGAATCCCGGTTAGGGCGGTTGGTACCTTCCAGTGGACTCACCACCCACAGGAAGGTTTAGGGCGGTTGGTACGGTTTTGGGGGGCGGTCATGGAGACTGCTGCACCCACGACCCGTTAATGGATAAGCGAATGAAAATGGATGGATGGATGATGGATACTCTAAGTTAATTTAAGAGGAGGTTTAAATGGAAAATATCAAAATATATATTATGTGGTATGCTTAGTGCTTCCAAAGAGTAATCATTGAGAGTAATCTTTATTTAAATATTTACCAAAATAATCAGGGTTATGATTGTTAGTAATCGAGCAGCTCTACTTCAGATCTTATCAGGGATAATAAAATGTTAAGCATTAAGAAGAGTTTGACTCCGAAGCTAATAGTTTGCAATTCAGAAAGCTAATCCTATAACTATGGGATTTCTTGAGATGTAATAATTTAATAGTTACTTCTTTAATCACTACATAATTAACTGCATATCTGTGCAGCTTGTAAGACAAAAGGCCAGAAGCCTGAAACTTTGCAATCATTGCAGTGTTGACGTGTGTTTACTGAGACAAATGCACATCAAAAGCTTGAAATGCAACTCAGAAGATGTTTCATAATATGCCTAAGAGAATCGTTCCTAATGGACCTCATTCATTCTAACATTGATAAAACCTTACTCCCTGCTATAATTAAAGTGGTTAATGCTGCCATTTGGGTGTCATGCAGCCATTAGACGCTTTTATCAGGGAAAAAATGTTGCTCTGACAAGATTCTTCACTGAGCATCAAGCTCTTGTGGACTGGTAACCACAGTGAAATGCTTAATGGTTTGTCCTAAAAGGATGGGAGCGGACCAGTGTTTGATTGTTTGAACTGATGAAAACAATGAACTACACTGTCCGTTGTAGGAGTAAAGTGTTGTAAATGCATGTATACAGTCAAAGTCATGACCACTCTGTAGCCCAGTACATACCTGTATATGTACGTGTCAAGATGTGCTCCACTACTCTGTACTAACATCTTTTACAGTCAGATGTGGTCACAAGAGCTTAAGTACTATATGTATTCCATATGTGAACATACAGTATGAGTTGATGTCTGTGCTAAAAACTACAGCCAAACAGGATCTGTAGTAAACCATTTTCTTCGTTATATTCTTTAGGGCTCATGCTGTGACGACTGCTGTAAGCTGTTGTGGTGCTACCCATGTGTCTGGTGCCAGATGAATCGAGAGGTGAAGATAAGGGGCAGTGGTCCAGCAAGCCACACAGTGGTTACAACCCAAGTCCACAGTGGATAAACTAATGGAGCTGTTGGGTACAAAAGCAGTTTGACTGAAAATGACCGCTGTTATAATCATATAATACATTAAGTGAAACAAGTTCATTATTTCACTATTTTATAATCATTTATACATTTTCAGCATTGCTGCATTTCATTTTTTTTATAATAATTGCTTTTATAATGATGGCTATATCAGTAATCCAGTAGTTCCAGTTTGCTCTTGTGTCCCATTCTGTTTTTGTAATTCATTTAAAGATAATAAAAAAAATCTTTTTGACATGTTTCTGTGTCATGTCTACATTAGTAGGAGGGCTTGTCTTTCCCAAAAAATGATGTATGTGCGGCCTACATATAGCATGTGAAATTTCATTTCACAAATGCCTGGGAATAATGAGCTTTTAGCCAAACTGCTGAAACTTAAACAAACGGCATTACCTAATTGGCATAAAAAGAATGTTTACTTGGAAATATTTTTGTCTTGTTTAACCACCACTGTGTCCCCACACTGTAACATTGCTTATGTTATGTCAGTGTTCCCTGGATGGAAATGTTCCAATACTGTGATGTGGGAATATCCCAAATGGAAAAAGGGGAAGCCACTTCCTTTTTTCTGCACCGTGACTTTACTCTTTGATTATTAGAAAGTGAAATAGTTGCATAGTCTTTATCAGAAGGACCAGCATTTACAAAGCTAACATGTTTATTTGTGTAAGAAGACCTAAAACATTTGGTCAGACCATAGTGTTTGTTGTTGAAAAGGAGTTTATGTATTTCTAAAATCAGTTGGGAACTTCTGGTCAACTCCCAGGGTTTGACTTTGCAAACGAAGGCACACTATTGTCAATTTGTGGGGTTGGTTTCCCCCTTAGTTATACTTTAAAAAAACAAACAAACAAACAAAAACTTCCTACAACAGAGTTCCCTAATCCAGTAACACCTAGAAGTGTTTCCTTATTTTGAATTCCTCTATTACGGTGTAAACTGCACATTTAGTAAATTGTTTTATCCAAGGTTAGGGTTAATGCTGAACTTTATTGATCCTGCACTTTTGTTAAATAAATAGTTTTCACCAGTTACACATGAGAAAGTTTGTGCAATTTTGGACTTTTTGCCATTTCCTCCGTCCTGTGGTTCAATATCTGCTGTTGACAACAAAAGGGGTAGTGGTGGAGAGGTTACGATACATGCAGAATGAGTGGTAATTATTCTAAGATTTTGTCCTGATGCTGCAGCCAACTGTCAGTGGGATCCACCATCACAAACAGGATCATTTAAACACAGGACAAATAGCAGAGAAACGACAACCAACCACATCCTGGTGCTGACAGGAACACAGTCAAAGAAGCACCACTGCACATGTGATACGAAGTAACGCAGCCTGGTGACAAACAGTGACACCACTAATTATTTACCTTTGTGAAAAAAAACAAACAAAACATTTTCAACAACACATAGAAAGTCATTTCTTTATTAACTGTACTATTATACCATTTAGAGTCGGTTAAAGGAGAAGTGAAAGTGTCGATGTCTAAAATGGAAAATTGAGAGTAAAAGAACAACACCACTTCCTGTTAAGTTGGAGTCAATCAAAGTACAATGTACTGCATATTTTTTTGTCACCCTGTACTTGAAGAAACACCGCCTCCTGCAGGACAAATTGTTAAAATAACGGCAATGTTGCCATCAAGCGCCCAAACAATAATTTGAATTGTTCGTAACAGACAAAATTACGACAGGAGTTTAATTTTGTTTATTTAACAAGTCCCTTTAAATAAATTGTATTTAAAAAATACCCCAAAACTCTTTTTGGTAGATGAATAATTTAATTCCACAAAGCCCCTAAAGCAGGCACGACCAACCTCTGGTAGCCATGCCTGCTTGAAACCGGTTGGAATGCAACAGGCTGTTTTTACGTGTTAACGTCGAATTTCTTTTCCCAATGTCTCTTTATTTTTAACTTAAGTCTAAAAAATGTTTGAACAGTGAGAGTTTAAACAGTCGTAAATAGGTTACTATGTTAACGCAAATGGACTAGTGTTTTTGTCTTAAGACGCCGTTTCCAGAATACGTTTCAAGCAGAAACAGAAATGAAGTACTATATTACAGTAACGTTTTTAAAGAGCTTGTGTTAGCAGTTTATGTCCTGCGGGCGGCACTGTTGTACTGATGTAGATGGAATTGGTCTATCAACGTCAGGTGCAGTTAGTCAGAAGCTGTGGTTTAGTGGCTTCCTTTGGTTTTTAGTTTTGTGCCATTACAGAGAGTATAATTCGAAAATTAAACAGTTTGAAAATGACAAGGCTAAAGCTTCAGTTTAGACTCTAACTTTAGTAACGAGATTGCCCCAACCTACATTGTTGATATCTGGTGAAGAGGCAATTTAAACCCTTTGTATGTACTTTATGCTTCGGTAGGTGAAATAAACCCTACCTGATCAACAAGGTCTTCACTCTGAGTTGATGAAAAGATCAGTGAGTGCAGACTTACAGTAAATCACATGTGTAGAAAGTGAAATGTACTAGTTCTTATCTGTACTAACGTGTGTCCCTCTGACAGGAAGTTTTATTTTCCTCTTATTGGCATCTTAAACAGAAAGAGGAAGTTTTGTTTTACCACTTCTGTGTATGTGTGTGTGTGTGCATGGCTGTGTGTATTTGTGAGGTGTGAGAGAAGTTGTTTGTGTTTCCACATGCTTCAGACTCAGAGTACAAACCTGTGAAGCTCTGATGGAGATCTACCAGGACGCTGTGCTTTACCTAGAGTCCCAACATGTACCAGGTGAAAGAGAGAGAGACATTTTTGTCTTTTATTTTTTTACAAAACGAAAACAAATAAAAAACTATTTTGTATTTAAATTTTTGTATTTGTATTTTAAATCAAAGCAGAATTCTAACATGAATTCTTCTTGTCTTTTGCTTTTGTTTCATTGCAGTGGAAGTCAATACTGATGTTCTGGAGGAGGACGTGTTCCAGGAGGACACCAGTTTTTCCCCACTTCAGGCAGACAGCATCGATTTTCCTGAAAACCCTGTGAGTCCAGATATTGGCACTATCACCACATTTTTGTTTTTGTTTTTTTTTTATATTTAAAAAAGTGCACATTTTTAAAAAAAATCTAAAAATTCAAATCTGGCAGTTTAAAAAAAAAACTTTACATGATTTAAATAAAACGTGAAGTGAAAGAAATGTGTCTAGAATATTTATAATAAGAAGATGCTGGTTGAATGTGTGCTCCTGAAGACCTGCAGCTCAGAGGAGATGTTGGAGAGGAGACTCCTGGTTCTCAAGGGCATTTTGGAGAGTGAGGAAGTTTATCTGAGAGAGCTGGAGACACTGCTGATGGTACTGTGACGGACACACACACACACACAAACACTAATAAATGTAATAAATATGCTGCAATCTGTCCAAAACTAAGTTACTGGGAATTAACCACCTGTCTTTTTAAACATAGACATTTGAATACATTACATTGAAGTATTTGAGTATTACAATGATGGACGTTAGCGTGATAACACAATGTATCGCAGCAAGAGCAGCGAACTCTTGGATATTGACGTTAGACGACACACCTGCACACAGTCAGTGAACACGGCTGACACGTATCAGCCAATCAACACTGTGGGAACCAGGGCAGAGCCAACGTTAAACGGACGTTTCAGCATGAGATAAACAAGCTCGGAGTTACACCACGGTACAGTAGAAGTTGTAAAATAAAAAAATAAACCCACCGTGGCGTGAATAATTGGTGAGTCAAACACTTAAAGTCGTTGTGATATTTATTTTTTTAAGCGAAGCCGTTGCAACCATTTCCGTTAATTTTCTCATTGTTCAGCTTCCTCGTTTTACCACATGATTGGTTCTGCATTGTAAAACTACTTCCTCTCTTTTCCCTGCAAATACTAATAAACTTCGAATTTTACTTGCTTTTTTTTCTAAAACCAATTACCTCAGATTAAGTTCTGTACTCCCAGCTTGTTCCTGCTTATGGTTCATTTAATTTTTATGGTTAACAAAAACTGTTGTAATTATCAAAACCCTGTTGTCCTCAATTGTGTGCACTTTATTTTCCACTTGTTGGCTAAAAAGAGAAATCACTGATCTAGACTACTATAGGCTAGACCAGTGATTCCCAACCACTGTGCCGTGGCACACTAGTGTGCAGTGAGAGATCATTAGGTGTGCTGTGGAAAATTATCCAATTTCTATAACTAGGCTGAAATCTATTATTTATTTATTGCTCGTCAAAGCATGAAAATTAGAACAGTTAAATCCTCTTCTGCTCGGTGGCAGCACACGGCTATGAAAAAAAAAAAAAATCAAAGCTGTTGAAGAAAATCTTTGTGAGTGTCTTACTTCAATTCCTGCCAGTACATCAGCTTGTCTTCAACTAAACAGGCTGAGATTTTGGTCAATTATTATATTTAATCTAGAAGATTATTATGTTTCATTACATGTACAGTACTTTTTGTGAGATTTCTGTTTGGTGGTGTGCTGTGGGGTTTTTCTGATGATGTACATGTGCCGTGGCTCAATAAAGGTTAGGAAACACTGGTCTAGACTCTAGACCAACCTTTCCCAACCTATTTTGGAAACACTGACTACTACAGGCAATGGAGCTACCTTAAAATCAAGATATTCCATAATTACACAATAATTCTACTTTTAAAAATGTACTGTTATGTAAGATATGAACAGCTGCTTACAGTGTAGTGTGGTCAAGACAAATGTCAGTTTTGTTTTTTAGAAAAGGGAACTTTTTATTTCAAATGCAGTGGCCACTTTATTAGGTAGATCTGATTTGAAAAGAGTTTGTCTAACGTTTTGGTGAACTTTGACATGATGACATCACTGAGTTGATGTTGTTGTGCACTGATGCTAATCTAATGTGCTCTTCATGTGCAGCTCACACCTGCTCCCCCGCCATCTGCTCTCTTATATTCATCTTTCACTGCTCATCTCTCTGGCCTGTTTTTCCACTTGTCTCCAGCCCATGAAGGCCCTGCGGGCCTCAGCTGGGACCTCCCAGCCCGTTCTGTCCAGTCAACAAGTCCAGACGCTTTTCTACCAGGTGCCTGAGCTCAGAGACATGCATCAGAGCTTCTACTCAGGCCTGAAGACCAGGCTGAACGATCGCCATCAGACCGAGCTGCCCACGGGTGAGGAGAGACAGGTGAACCACACAGACTCTGAGCTGGTGGTGGGAGACCTGTTCCTGAAGATGGTGAGTTTAAATGTAAAAGTTTACCTGGAGTGTGGACACTGGAGCAGGAATCTGATGTTCAAAGCTGTCCATTGGGGGCACATTCATGTTAACTTCCTCCTCGCCCCCAGGTGAATCAGATCGGTCTGTACAGAGGTTTCATTGAAAACTATGAGAATGCTGTTGATGTTGTTCGCAAGTGCACACAGTCAGACCCTCGCTTCCGAACTCTGGCTGAGGTATAACACTTTGGACAGTGATAATTAACCCAGGAAAACAGTTAACAACAGGATTCTTCTCAATTGGCTTCTTTTCCTTTTTCTTTTCCAGAGCATGATGTCCAGTAACAGCTCTGACAAAGTTCGAACCACATACACCCTGGAAGGTAAATAGTTTTTTATTTATATTAGTGCTTTATTCTATTTATATATTTTAGGATTTATGTGAATAAATATGTGAAGGACTTGTAAATGTTAGTGTTGTGTCGTCCTGCAGCTCTGCTGTACAAACCTCTGGACAGAGTCACCAGGACAACACTAGTACTGCAGGTACAAGTTTATTTACCATTTATGTAGAAATACAGTCCAAGCACAGATGTCTTTTTTGTGCAGTTGCAAGAACATTTAAAAGTATTTAAAATGATAGTGTTGATAGGGAACACTACCCCTTTAAAAGGTTTGTACAATAAGTGTTCACAATAAAATACAATATTTGTGAGAAACATAAAGTAAACATTGAGGTAATTTTACGTTATCAGGTTCTCAATAATATTTCAATTTGTGGGGGTGTGGGTTGGAGGGTTGCATGAAAACACTTCTGTTCCCAAGGGAGTGGGGCATGACAGAAAATAATTGAGAACCACTGCTTTAACCAAATGCAGCAGTGGGTCATAGGCTCTAGAATGTTTTCTGCAAGAACAATGAAAACCCAACAGTACCAGTCCCACAAGTTCTAAGTCTAGGTCCACTCTCTGAAGATGGTAAGCCAGGAGTTTCTACTCTTTTCAGTCTCCAGTTTAGCGTCAAGTCAGATTAAAGTCTCAAGTCACTTTAGAGAGGACAGAACAAGTTTTAAGGTCACAAGGTCACAAGGGTTTTACCTTTCAATGGAAGTCATGAGTACTCAGGTTTACTTCCACTCAAGTAGTCTTCATTCTAGACACTACTACACTGTAACTACACTGTGAAAGTAGTCATGTTGATATTTGACATTTAAAACCCTTATCTTTAGAGTGTTGTGTCGTGGACCTGATTTCGTTTACCTGCATTTACACCCCTCTCTGTCATGATAACATCTTTGACATTTCAGGACCTTGTGAAGACGACACCAACGTTACACCGCGACTATACAGCTTTGCAGGAGGCTCTCCGACTGTCTCGCGGTTTTCTGTCTGGTGTCAACGAGAGTTCGAACGCCAAACGAGAGGTCACGCTCAGTCACGGCATGGTGAGGCGGCTGCTCTGTGCCAAACACAAACGCAGCTGAACACAGGAACACATTTCTGTTATGAACTGTTAGAACTGTTATGTTAACATAAGCAGCCGTGGTCAGCTGCACGTCTTGACGCCTACGTGTGTTCTACCTCAGAGACGTCAGCTGATGTGTGACGGTTTCATGGTGGACGTCACCGAGGGGGAGCGTGCCCTGCGACACCTGTTCCTCTACACTGACCTCCTGCTGTGTGTCAGAGCAAAACATGCAACCAGAGGGTGAGTGTGACCGCAGCAGCAGAGAACAGGAGCAGGGCTTGTGGGGAAATGTGGTTAAGTGGCCTCACTGATGACTTGATGGCAGTTGGCTTGTGAGCGGTATCAGAAGTACTTCTCTGTTTTCATATGTTTTTATTTACGTGTCTTGGTCCATACAGTAGAACAGGCCATGATCCAGGTTTACATCAGACTCTAAAGCTAACCGTTAGTTTTTTTTCTGTAGCTAAGGTTATTTATCTGATATATCTAACTTTTATTTCTAAGCTAACTTTTGCATTGCATGATTTTTTTTTTTAATACAGTTCCTCCTGCAAAGCTCTTTGCTCACTTTGGCTTTTCCAGCTATTCAACAATTCTTGATTCTAAATTCTTTACAAAGAACTTCTATTATTATTCTTCCTCCTTGACTAGCCAGGTCAAGTCAGAGTTATTTTGATAGCCCTATTTGTGTAATTATGTATGTCTACATAGAGACTCAATACCGGGCATTTATATTCTGGAAATTTACACCATCACAGAAATCTGGTCTTATCAACATAGTCCAGCTGTTATAAAAAGTTTATGGTTTTCTATTTATGCTAACAAGCTCAAAATGCTATCACATGGTGTTTTTAAATATAAAGAGTTTATAAGTTCATCTTTCAGTAAATTCAGAGAAACTCCAAAGTGCAGTAAGACTAGATATCAAGTAGAGTGGAACCACACAGATGAGATCTACTGGCTCTCTACAGGTTTGTGCCTGTGTCTGTGTCCTATCCAGGAAGCAAGATCAGTACCGGTTCTGCTGGTACCTCCCTCTGGCTGGTCTCAAACTGCACTGGGCTTCAGATGAGGAGCATCCACCTCCTGCAAACCTGCGCTTGTGCACTCTCAAAAATAAGATGTACACACTCAGACAGCAGCTGCAGCAACAGGCAGTACGTTGGTGTGGAGAGACCACACATTTAGAAATGTTTTTTTTTGTAACAACTGACCTGTGTCTGTGTGTCTGTAAGGGAACCAGAGCAATATCCTTTACTGCCCGCAATCAGAAGAAACTGGAGCAGATGGAGCTGATGATGTTCATCCTCTCAGCTCTGTACAGGCTGGAGCTGCACAGCCCCAGTGGCAAAGTAAGGACACACACCAAACCAAACATGTTCTAATGATGGATGATAAAATGTTCTGTTCTTTTAACCCCTCACTAGAGTCACACACTCCTCTTCACCTCCTTGTATGAACTAGAAGAATGGAGAGAAGCCATTCATAAACTCACTACACAAAGTAAGTTCAAGTCAGTGACACTAAAGTCAGATGTCAATGTATTAAAGACAGTTAAATGTTAGTGGAGATCATGTTACTTTAGCATCACTCTAGTAGCGCTACCAGCACCAGTGGCTAAAAGAAGCCATAAATCCAGGAATGGAAACAACCAGCTGCTTGGTGTTGGAAATTTGAAAAATAAATAATTAAAGCCAAGTGTTCTGGTGAAGAGTAGGTGGGTGCTCTGTATCAGTCGTACACATTTAGAAATTCAGTACTGTATTTCAGTTTTTTTCTGTCTTCTTTCTTTATTTTTAACCAGCAATTTTCCCCTTGGTGACAAATTATGTATTTTTTTTTTTAAGCAGACTACATGAGTGAATGTTATTGGTCACTGTAAGATGTGATGAAATACTGTACAAAATGTCTCATAGTGTGCTTCTCTTTTTTTTTTATGTTTAAAGTGATGTCCTGTTTGTCAATGACAAGATGGAAAAATCAAATCTAACTCCTGCTTCTCACACTCAGATGTCGAAACTGTCCCACCTGACCTGCTGACCCTCACTGGTGCATGTGCCAAACTCCGAATGACCCAGCAGCCCCCACTACAAACCTACATCTCTGGTAGGAGCTCTGTCGACTCTGTGTTTGTACTGACTCACATCCTGTGTTAAAAATTCAAATGCTTTTATCTTCCTCTTTCACACCAATAACTCTGATGACTAACTGCCACCCCCCCCCATGGAAAAACTTTTTGTTGTTAAATTGAAATGCATTTGATAAAGTAATT